CAAATTGAAGCAGTGATCAAACCATGAGTTACCAAGGTTATGACCTTGGTCCAACAATGGCCCCAGTTACAGTACAGTCCTAACTACATCACCCTCTGTATGTGTCTACACATTCACACATACACAGTAAATCCCGCTGAATTCCTTGAGATGTATTTATGGGTAAATGTTCACAGAGCTAAAATGCTCTGTATAGAAGCGCATATCTAAATGTGATTCTGAGGTGTCCTTGGTGCTCTCAGAGCTTCCTTGTTTTCTTACAAAGCTAGGCACCAAGCTAGAAAACAGGATATATAATATATACTACTTACTACTTTTCTGGCAACTTTTGTATAATATATGCATTAGGCCTATCGTACATTGCCCAGAGTCTTGAAGTCAGACAGCTGTAATAAATACGATTAATAAATATTTAACATTTTCTCAATCCACTTTTCTATCTTTAGTAAATATTCTATCAAAATACACAAATTCATCTTCTTGCTCTTTTTTACCATTTATATACAATTTACAATTGTTGATTTTCTTTCTCAAGCATATTTACTTTGATACATTAATTTTCATCTCAAAATTCCTTAATTTTCAGATCCCATACAATCCAACTGCTGCTGCAAATTATTCTAATTCTCAGCCAACAGCATGGCATCATCTGCATACAAAAGTGCACATACAGGTAGCCCTTGCTTAATTGAACTTAACTGAGACTGGAATTTTGTTGCTAAGCAAAGCGGTTGTTAAGGAAAAAACATCATGTGAATGTACCATTTTTTTAAAAAAAAATTCTTAAGTATGTTTTTTTACAAAATAAAAACAATACAAATGGATGATGATGTTGATGATGATGAACCTGCTGATGGAAAGATTACAAAATAGTTTATCTAAACTGCAAGCTCCAAATGGACTGAAAAAGTCCATTTATTTAGAGTTTGATTTGAGATTTATTATTTAAACCCTCATTTCAGTTCAATGGGAACATTTACTTGCAAACTGTGAATACAAACTGCACTTCTAATTTCTACTGTATTGTGCCCTTTGTAAGACTTTATAAACTTGAAAATATTTATTTAACTCTACTTCTTTTGATTTTCACCATACCTCTTGGCAAACATTGATGTTTTTTATCTGGGAGGAGCTGAATTCAACCATTTTCTTGTTATTTCTTCATTTCTTTCTGGAAGATTCAATTGATCATTATAACTAGTTACTGTTAGAATACTGGGAATGATGTTTGAGAACTATTAAAACCTTGCCAAGGTACAGGGCAAGATAAAAACAATCAAAACTAATTATTCCTGGCTTATTTTTGCATTATAAAATCAAGATACAATCCGGTTCCATTAGACTCTATGAGATTTTTGTTGCAGGATTCCATGGGAGATTAGGAGGGCAAAACTATTATATTAGTATAGTAATAATACTATTAGGAGGGATGTGGTGGCTCTGTGGCTAAGACACTGAGCTTGTCAATCGAAAGGTCGGCAGTTCAGTGGTTCAAATCCCTAGTGCCGCGTAATGGGGTGAACTCCCATTACTTGTCCCAGCTTCTGCCAACCTGGCAGTTCGAAAGCACGTAAAAAATGCAAGTAGAAAAATAGGGACACCTTTGGTGGGAAGGTAACAGCATTCTGTGCGCCTTTGGCGTTTAGTCATGCCGGCCACATGACCACAGAGACGTCTTCGGACAGCGCTGGCTCTTTGGCTTTGAAACGGAGATGAGCACCACGCCCTAGAGTTGGGAACAACTAGCACATATGTGTGAGGGGAACCTTTACCTATTCTATGGAAGATAGCTACTACATGCCAAAAATTGCTGGGGGTAGTTTTTCCACCCTTTTGGAACTGTCAGAGCTCTTGTAACATACCTTATTTCATATTTGACTGTTGTCACTATGTTTACAATTGCAGAATAATAACTGCATTTTATATGAATAAAAGTGATTCTCTAATTATAAAAACTCTAATGCATATGTACTGTACAGCCTGCGATTTATTCTCTAAATTCTTCCTCTCTAGGCCATCTCCAGAATGAATGTAACAAAAAAAAATCATTATTTTTAAGATAACTACTTTAATGGCTAAATTTGGAGTACAAAAAACATGTGAAGTCAGTTGCATTTTTTAAATTGACATTTCTCACCTTTCTTCAATGTGCCTACGCAAATATTAAGGAAGGTCAGGATATTTTTAAATCGGGTTTCTAGGTGGCACCAGTGCGACAAGACTGAACTTATGCAAGCAAAATCTATAGAAACACCTAATACAGAATGTAAGAATTTACATGCCTCATCATTATGAATCTTCCACAACTATGTGGACATAATAGCTGCCCTGAATCTCCAGAGAAAGGCGGCATATAAATTGAACTAATAATAATAATAATAATAATAATAATAATAATAATATAGACCCAGATTTATGGAATGCCTATTTTGAAAGCAGTAAAAATACAAATGGTGTATTGTCAGAGACAGGTACAACAGAAATACAGCTGCCACAGGGCATTTTATTAATTGAAGCATTGCCAACTCAGGAACTTAGTCTAGTGGTTAAGACACCAGGCTAGAAACCAGAAGACTGTAAGTTCTAGTCCTGCCTTAGGCATGAAAACCTGTAGTGACTTTGGGCTAATCATATTCTCTCAATCCAACTTACCTCAAGGGTGGTTGTTATGGGGAAAATAGGAAGAAAGGGTGTATTAGGTATGTTTATAAAACTAATAAAGGCAGGTTAAAAATAAATCAACAAATCCATAAAACTAAAAAAGCCATTATCTCTCTTCCCAGCACTGAATTCATACCAGTATTCAAAATTAACATTGAAAGTTCAAATTATATTATATATTCCAATAGGACATAGATCCCTTGAAAACAAATATGACAGCTGTCTTCAAGACCAGCTTCAACAGTTTCAGGTATACTGTACAATTGTCCCAGGATGATCTAATACAGAATGGAGCAAAATATTTTAACGTTCAACATATTTAAGAGTTATGGGAGAGGAAAGGTTTTAACAGAGAAGATCGAGACTGATCTGAAAATTGATTTAAAAATGTCAAGCTACAAGAATAATGTTACACTGGGCCTACAAAAGAAACAAACTGATATCTTTATAATTAAATGGAATACACAAAAACTGAAAAAATGAAAAAAATGAAGTTCTGGGACATTATTTGAAGGACTAAAAATTAAGATTGTTAAAAGGAAGGAATGTAAAGTGGGTTTATTTAATCAAGGTTAAAATCGATATTTGACTTATTTATTTGTATCCCTCCTTTATTATATTTTACAAATAACTTAAAGCAGTGAACAAATCCAACACACCTTCCTCCTCCTATTTCCCCCACAAGAATCCTGAGAAGTGAATTGGGTTGAGAGAGAATGACTGGTCCTAGGACATCCAGTGACTTTCACAGCTGTAAGGCAGGACTTGAATTCACGATCTCCTGCTTTCTAGCCTGGTGCCTTAACCACTAGACCACTTGACACTAGGGTGAAACTCAATTTCACTGAAGGCCGGATCAGCATTGTGATTGTCCTCCGGGGGCTGGGGTGGTTGCGGCAGGGGCATGGCCAGCTTGACATTGCTTGTGTGGGTGGTGCCTGTGGGGGCCGGGCGGAGCTGGAGAGGGAATCCAGAGGTCTCCAGTGGGTGGGGCAGTGGGCAGGAGGCTCGTCCTGCAGGATGGCATGGGCTGGGCCAAAGTGACTTGGGCTGGCCCCTTAGTTTCCAGGATGGCCGCGCGGGCCGAATCCGACCACATTGCGGGCTGGATCCGGCTTGCGGGCCTTGCATTTGACCAAACTGCTTCTCATATTGTTATCACCTACCTTAATCCTTTACTGTAACCTTTAATGGACTTTTGCTGCTCAGGTTTGAAATGATGAGATTTTTAAGAATTAGTGTAAGGAAAATTTGTTGATCCATTGAGTAAGTAGATAGACAATAGAGATTAAGGGGAAAAAAAAAAAACCCACCTCAAAAGACAACCAGGGAATTAGAATGAAGAAGAGAGAAAAAGCAAAACTTTTGAGTCTCCCTGACTGTATTATCAAAGATCTAAACTGAAACTGCTATTTAGAGAAAAAGACTAGTAAATAAATAGCAAATAAAGTAATGTTAGGAACTATCAGAACAAATTAAACTAAATCATATAAGAATATGATTATTAAGGAACTGAAATAACTTCAGCATTTTATATAAGCAAAACCTTATAACTGTTTTTAATAGATGGCATTCTTCTTTTATCTAGAGAGAACTACAACGATTGAATGCCAGAAATTGGATCATAATTTGGGTTGTATCCCTATTGCTTTTCTTCTCTAAAGATGCTAAATTTACACTTTTTCATCAAGATATAACTATGAATCTTATTTGAAAAAGTGATGATTAGGTTTCCAGTAGATTAGAAGAAATCCAACATGGCAAATAAAAAAAAAAGGCTGCTTAATGTAAAAAAGAGTAAATAATCAATCTATAAGAAATTAGTCTATATTCAGATCCATTATTTGCTCAACCTTTCTTTAATTAAAGTCATACCCTTGGCTGGATATGCTGGGATTTGTAAACCCAGCACAACTGGATTCAGTTCATTGTTGAATGCTGACATAACTGAAGTTTACAGTCAGAACGGATATTGAGATTAGGGTTTGCTGAAAACACTATATGGCTACCAAGGGTGGAACTTTATTTGATGCGTATTTAAACTGCTTTTTTTTGGATAAGAATGATTAATATGATTCATTATGATGCCAATTCACTAAAAATCCCTATGTTAAAAAAGATAGCTAGACATTTGCACCATTCCGCATCCACGAAAACTGTAATTTTGATAAGGTTATGTTCTTCCTAAACATCACTTTTCTTTGGATAATGCTCCCTCTTCTGGACTAACATTGCCAGTGCTGCAGTTTTCTTCCTGAAACTCAATGCTGTTATTTTCCCTCTGGAAATTATTATGCTGACGTATTAACAATGAAATGAAATAAACCCAAGACAAGATATTGATGTAACCAATAGCCTTGGCAACAATTTATTAATATAAAACACATTATATGTTTGATTCAATTAGGCTAATAAGCATTTTCTCTGAAATATTCATATTGTTTCTTTTACACCAAGAACTGATGTACGAGTCCTTTTTTCCCATGGCAACCACAAACATAGGACACTCAACATTTTCTGTCATGGGGGATGGGGGGTGGGGAAGTATAGCTGCCTTTTTAAGATATAGAAGCACCTTGGCTGAGATGCCCAATACATGTCTTTGAAATGCACATCCAATTCTGTAGACCATCTTGTAGTTCTGGAAAGCAACAACCTTCGTCCAAAAATAATACACATATCACGTTTGCTCAGAGATGCTGTTTGTGGCAGTCCCTGGCACTTTACTTGATGCTGACGTTTCGGCAGTCCGTGGAACCTGCTTTGGGAGACGGATAGGCACATAGACATTGGAAGCGCAGTGTTCCTTAAGATATTCTCCACCTTTCTCTTCATAATCTTTCCTAGTTATCCAGCCTTCTTCACGGTTCATGTACTCTAGTGCCCAATCCCGAGCTCCATACCATGCATCAAGAACAGGATTAGAAGCAAGATGCACCTGCAAGGCAACAAAAATATCACACCATAGAGACAATTTGTAAGCAAAACTATTTGGTAGAAATAATTTCAAGTATTGTCTTTTCTTGCACGAAATGCCTGCTTCTTAAGATGAACTTGGAAAGGATAGATAGGTTCTCATGAGAATGGCTCTTTGTGAATTCTTCGGTCTTCACTTTCCTAGGGAGGTGACTATGGGACTCCCCTCTTATGGAATTTTTTTAATGGAATTTTTTTCCTTCCGAAATATGTACTTATGTTCCTGCAATTATAACAGGTTTCTATGGCTTTGATTTTTAACATTCCATCATTTATACAATTGCATTTTTATTATTTGTGTACTTGTCAGTTGCTGTATGCACACTGATAAATAGAAAAGTAGGATATATTTAAAAGCAAATATGTGTCAAACCTTCTGAAAATAAAATAATCTTGTTGGATAAAATCAAAGGTCCATCTGCTTCCTCAGGTAGCCAACTGAATTCTTTTAGGAAGCATACTCCCAGTAACTGTATTAATAGCAGCCTAGAGTCACATCTTGGTGAAATCGGTGGCACATAAATTAAATAAATAAATAGCACACAAAATCTGAGCATAACCTGATGGTGGAACGTTGAATATTTCACTATATAAAGCTTTTGAATTTTCCCTTTCAATTGGCAAAGACAATACTCTACCTGAAAGGTTGATTGGAATGGCCTCATTTCAAGCAATTCTTTCTGGATTCTGTCTTTCATTCCAGGATACATCACATTTCCACCAGTGAGGAAGACATTCTGGACAAGTTTTTCCTGTTGATCTTTAGAATATCTAAAAAAAAGAAACAAAAACTAACCCTGTTATCAAAACATTTAAGGCTCTTTTTTGTCTGACTATTGATACAGGAATCTGCCAGTGTATCAACAATAGCTTAGTTCCCTTTCCCCTGAAGTATTTTACCTATGGTACATATCTCTACAAGCTAAACCACCCTCCCTGACCTAGGTTTTTCAGATGTTTATGTGAAGCCCATGTGGTTATTGCTGAAAATTCAGAAAGTTAAAGGGCACCCAGATTGGCTTAAACTTCAAAGATTTCCAGAGTATAAAGCTGTGAAGTACAATGCTTAGAATTCGAAGATAAAAAAGGCACTAAAAAGCATGTAAGAGTGCAACATGGCACTCATCTGCACCTCCTTAAAGTAATCAGATCTTAGGATCCTCGTGGCTGTTCTCTGGTACTCTTGTGGCATACACACTTTTGTGGCATAAGGTAAAGGTTCCCCTTGCACATATGTGCTAGTCGTTCCCGACTCTAGGGGGCGGTGCTCATCTCTGTTTCAAAGCCAAAGAGCCAGTGCTGTCCAAAGACGTCTCTGTGGTCATGTGGCCGGCATCACTAAACGCCAAAGGCGCACAGAATGCTGTTACCTTCCCACCAAAGGTGGTCCCTTTTTCTACTTGCATTTTTCATGTGCTTTGAACTGCTAGGTTGGCAGAAGCTGGGACAAGTAATGGGAGCTCACCCCGTAATGTGGCACTAGGGATTCGAACCGCTGAAGTGCCAACCTTTTGATCGACAAGCTCAGCGTCTTAGCCACTGAGCGACCATGTCCCTTTTTCTTGTGGCATTCTTCATTCCATGTGTCAGAGTTCCAGAAAAACCTCAACTCCAATTAAAAACTCTGAAGCAAGCATCTTCTCAAAGTTCTACTTATTAGAATAAGTATACTGGCACATCTGGGAAAACCCAAATATGAGAGTTCTGTGTTTTTCCTCAGTAAATCAAAAGCCCCCAAACCATCCCCTCACATCAATTGATCACATGCTCCAATCACCATCCGTCCCATCTCAAGACAGCACTCCAACCACTCCTTCTCCAGGTGCAGAATCATCCTGACCTTGACCGGAAGGAAGAATGCTATTTTGTCTAAAGACAATCCCTCTACTAAATTCACCCTCCTATTTTCCCACACATGAGAAGGTGGCAGTGTGGAAGCTTCAGGCCTAATATGGCTTCCAAAGCTGACACCATGTTTGCTACAAATATTGCTACTCAATTCTTAGCCCTACAAGTATTTTTTTAAATCAAAGTTTTTTTTAATTTTCTTTTTTTCCTAATTTATAAAATCTTCCCAGATGATAAAAGCTTCTCTAAAGTAATAGTATGAGAAGAATAAAATTCACAGATACTTTCAAAATCACTACATAAGAAACTCACTACTATCTGTATGGGCAAAAAATAAAACGTAAGATTTATCTGAAAATCCCAGAATGGCTCTCAACGATGGAAGCCTTTACATACCTAAATTTGGTGAAGTTCGATACAAAGATATTTTGGACACTGAAAGGAAATTAAAATCTAAGCAAGATCTTGAAGATCAGGGCATTATACTATCACAGTGGCATCAATTGCAAATGCAATCTAGATACGATAAGGACATGAAAAAGTATGGCTTTTAGAAAGGACAGTCTGTGATCAGATATTGTTAAACTCTGATGAAAAATTAATTAAGAAAATATATAATTTTTTAGTAAACTGGAAAAAAAATAATTTCTTTCTTCTTCATCAGCTGCAATGGCAACTAATACCTCTAAATGGTTATAGCAAACTTCAGGTTTCAACTCTGCCCCATTCTTCCCCTGCTTTCCCTAGTTGAAAGAACTGTGTGCCTCAGATTGTGGTATGTCTCATTTTTTTCGTGTAGCATTAATCCAGTCTAGCACAACTTTTAAACACAATTGCTATGACAGCAACACACTGAACAGTATTTTCTAAAGCTACACAAAAGCAGAGTGTCACCGAATGTGTCAAGTATATAGTTCTATACTACTCTTATATATTTTCTTGGAAATATGCCCCATGTTATCCTCAGAGTAGTTTACAAAGCATATATTATCCCACAATACTTTGCTAAATGTGTAACTTGGCTTTCTCAGAACCTGCAAATGCAAACCCTCTTCTCTTATTTAAAAAATAGTATGAATATTATTCAGGCTAATCTGAAAGCAAATAAGTAAAAAACACACTAATTTACCTAATTTATGATCCATGATTAATTGAACCATGATTTATTGAATGAATGCAACTGCCAGGGTTTGCACAACACATTGAGCCAAAGCTAGTTGACTACATGTTAACTCACTGTATCATTCAAAGCATCTTTCTCTGAACATTGAGAACATATTCTTAAGCACATCAATTTAAGTTAGGAAATCAGGAAGTCTGTAACTTTACCTGTCCAGGACAAGCTGCATGGTTTCTGCTATCCCAGCCTGTTCTTCTCCTATTAGGGATGGCTGAAAGACAATTTCAGGAACTCGGATTCTCTCTGTGCCAATAAAGAGCTGATGATACTCTGCCAAATTAAACACGGGCTGTAAAAACATGAAGATTCAGGAGAGCAATGCTTTAGAACAGGGGTGTCAAATTTGATCTCATTGAGGGCCGCATCAGGGTTGTTTGACTTCGGAGGGCCTTGGGTGGGGTGGGCATGGTGGGCATGGCCAGCTCGACGTCACTTATGTCGGGGGCACCTGTAGTGGCCAAATGCTAAGGCAGGACTTCCCTGAAGTCCCACCTTCTTCTCATTATAATTAGGCAGCACTAAGAATTTTAAAAATTAATTGGATTATTTAGTTTTGGGTCCTATCAAAAGATTCAAATTTCCGTTATAGGACAAGATGATTCACCTGTTGTGATAATGATGATTTTATAGTTCATCTCTTCGCTCTACTTTGCAAGGCATTGATAGGATAAACTATATTGCAGGCTTGTTTCCAAGTTGTGTAGTACAGTAATTTAATAAAATGAGTGAAATAATTTGTTGCAAAGAAAATCGGGAAACTCTACCATGTGAACATTCCTACTATTTTAATTGTAAGCCACAATAAGGAATGTACATAACTAGAAAATTAGATATGACAATGACGTAACTATTTCTTGTCTGTCAACAAAAAATTACAGTAATTGAATCAAGACTACAGGTACTAGAACTGGTCTGATAGTTTAAAAATTACATATAGGAACATCACTCTCTTACTTGGCAAATTAAGACAGATTATTTTAAAAATTATCTTTCAAATAGCAATACAAATAAATATAACACAGCAAGTGTGATCCAAAAGCAATCAGGTATGCTAAACCTGGATTGTACTGAAAAGATATGGTTTGTAACACGAAAGCTATGGTAAACCTTAATACTATTTAGACAAACTGCAATGTCCTCCAAAGCCATTCTGGCTGGAAATTAAGTGAGTCCAGTATATTTGAAGAACAGTAAATTGGGAAAAGGCAATTTCAATCTATATTGTTAGAATTAGTATTGCATGGTTTTAGTTTCTCCCTTGCTTACCAGTCTTTTCTAAGTGGAAATTTTCATAGCTGAAATCCTATGTTTTGCCATCTAGAAGCTAGCAGCTGAGTGACAAGCAGAAATTCACTGTGTGTTCTACACAGCATTTAAAACATAGAATTGCAACCTTTGAAATCCTCAGCCGTAAGGATGACATGCAGGAAAAATACTATACCTAATAATGCTACTGCCAGTGCAATATCCAAGATAAAGTTACACCTAGTGAATTTCTGACTGCTACACACAACATTTGTGCCCCTTCAGCTGAAACTGAACAACCCATTTGCTTCATGACGTCCAAGGCTAAAAATGGTAAAATGCAAACAGCAATGCTGTGACCTAAAAGTATTGCAGTTAAAAGAAGCAAAATGAAGACGATCCTACTCAGACAGAAACAATCACAACAAGGCTGCTGAAGGGCCAAGGCCTATGAGGGGAATAGATCCAACCTATCCCAGGAACAAGAAATTAAATGATTCACTTGTTATGGTTGCCCTCTATTTTCCAGGTATCTTTCCTTGTCTGTCAGATCCCTTTTCACTCCAGAAATAAAGATAAAAAAGGGCAGAAAGGGGAAACTGAAACTGATCGTGTACTATACTTTCCTCTTCTTTTCCCCACAAAATCATTATTTTTTAACAGAATGAGAAAAATAATAAAATCATGCAGCGTAACAATATTAAACAGCATTATTTATATTAGTACTGAAATAACAAAGAATACTAATTTCTCACTGAATTGTTTTCTTTTCCTCACAGCATCTGCTTCTACTTCCTGACTTTTTGACACTTTTCCCCTTGGCAGGAACACACATACGTAATTAGGATGTTTCCCAGTACTTCCTTTATATCAGACACCACTTGTAACCTCTGGATTTCACAGTTGTTTTGGGTTAAATAATTACAGGAAATTGCCTTTGTCTTCCATGTTCACCAGTCAGGACCCCAAAATACTCATCTACAATGTCATAACATTGCCAACATGATTAAACCTAGTTATAGAAGGCATGCCTGCCCTGACACTTCCAGCTCTGATTTCAATTGCATACAAGTGGATTGCAATAAAAGAAAACAGCAGATGGAATTGCTTTCTAAAAAATGACTGTAAATATGATTGAGGCAACACTTCTGCTTATCTCTTTCCCCCATCCCATTCTTGGCATAGCAGAGATTGGAGAGAGATTTCAAGAGAGTAAAGCTGTTTCATCTTCTACATATTGAGAGCAATGTAATCGCATGAGCAGCAGGAAAGTTTCAGGTGAAGGAGAGATTTATCTACAGAAATCACCCCCCCCACACAAAAAATTGCATAGAAAGAAATTCCAGTAAAATACTGTAAACTGTTAGCTCTTCTAAACATCAAGAACAATGCAAATAAACAAACATTTATCTGAAATTGAGATTGTGTCTACTTAAAAACAAACCTGTACTGTAGTAACTGGTTTTTCAACTTCAGGTTGCTCCTCAGCAAATAAAGGCTCAAAATCATTCACACTTTCTACATCTTCCATGGATTGTTCACTGCCCAATGGATCAAGATCAGGAATCTTGGAAGAAAAAACATTAGAAGTTATTTCAAGAAAAACAAACACATAAGGTAGGATGAATATGTTATGTTCTAAAAGGTGCTATAACCAATTAACCAAACCAATGCTTTTTTTTTCTGAAGAGAGACAAATATTCTTAAACTTCCAAATTCAGTAAATTTTATTTCCTTCAGAGTGAAGTTCACACTAACCTGCCTTTGAAAGCAGGTTTTCAAATTTCCAATTATTTTAAATGGACAAGTTTGATGTTCCAGCAATATTCCTCTGTTCCAAACTGTGGTCATTTCATTTCAAGCAGTCTCTAATAGGGTTAAGCCTAATTTTCAAGATGTCATATTTTTAAACTCACCAGTAAACTCATCAAATATTTCATCCTCATTCCTTTTAACCAACCTTCTTAAATAAACATTTGTTGGCAAATTAAGTCTCGAATTTGGATAAATTGGTAATTTCAGCTGGAACACTTAGTTTTTATTTTATTTCTATATCATATTTAAAAACCGACCATTTCCCTCATAGAGCAACTCTGGAGGTTATCATCCCAAAGGACAACACAAAAGAACTACTAGATTGAAAGAACACGTATGAGTTCACATACATACTAAAGGTATCATCAAGTAAAAATTAATTACTAGACCTATGGTTGATTGTTTAGAGATTTTATGCAACATTGGATTTGGGAATTACATTCCAAGAATGCATTTTTTTCAATTGCACTCCAAATATACTATTTTTAAAGGTGGCAAATATGAAAAAAGTAATCCTCACAGCTTAAAATAAAAATTTACATATAGATGTTGACATTCCTTTGCATGTAAGCAAAATGCATGCATTAAATATTTATTTATTTATTTATTTATTTATTTATTTATTCGATTTATATGCCGCCCTTCTCCGGAGACTCAGGGCGACTTACAATGCTTTAAGCAATATTGCTTGAAAGATGTAATTATCTTCAGATCATAACTCTTTTCCCCCAAAGATGTGCAAAAAGCATTTTTTAAAAATGTTCAAGGAAAAAAACCTATATAGCAACAATAAATAATGAATTTAATTACTATGAAAAACAAAGGTTGAGAGTGAAGCCTTTAAAGCTGTTACTGTGTTTCCCCAAAAATAAGGCCCTGTCTTATATTTTTTGGAACCCTGAAATAAGTGCTTGGCCTTATTGCCATGTATTCAAAAGCCCAACTGGGCTTATTATCAGGGGATGCCTTATTTTGGGGAAAACAGGGTAGCTACCATGAATATCCACATACATTTATGCTCATGGCCACTTCCTGCTTTTTTCTACTTCTTTTGCCATAATTTGACACAATAATTCTAGCAATTGCATGATTCTAAGTCTAGCAAGAATTCTTGTATATACAGATCATTTTATAAGGTTCAGTGATGGCAATTCTGCTAAGTATACTTACTGAACTAAATATCTCAGAACTAGTAGAGCGTATATGTACCTAATTTGTTCCCATTTCCTCAATCATTACTACAATGTTCTAATATGCACCTGTTTCAGTGTCCTGAGCTTTTTCTGATAATGAAACATGAGTGGTTGGGGAACAATAATAAAGAGAGAAACTTGTCACACTTCCAACTTAAACAGGCTTTATCTTCTGACTCTTTGGCCTTAAATATGCATTATCTAATCTGTGTATAAATCAGTTTTTCTCAAGAATACTAAAACAAAGTTGTGTAAATAGAGAGGCCTGCAAGAAACTGGGATTAGAAAACGTGAAGATTTTAACTTGTGTTGCTTAATACTTTTCCAGCTTTCATTGAGTACTATATAAGTCTGTTCAATCTTCATGGATTTCTTTTTGGTTGGTTGTTTTAGGAAAGGACATTTCCCTCCTTACAATTTCCCCAGAGGTCTCCCCCCACCCCCCAAACTCTCTAAGCCTATTGGAATACATTTGTTTTTCAGAAAAATATTAGTAAGTATCATCATCTTGTCATGCTGCAAATGACTTAAGGACAGAATTAAAGATGGCAAAACAAAGAGCAGGAGAGAGAAATGTGTACACTTGTATGAAGTTACAGTACATCCAAGAGAACAAAATCTTGAAACTGTTTCCCAAATATTGATTCCCATGTATGATACCTCTGGCTTGCTGTCCACAACATCCACTTCAACACTAACTTCTGCCTGGAGGATTTTCTGCTTAGTTTGCTCAATGGCCAAACTGAGCTTGTGGATATAAGACTGCAGTTCCTCAGCAGAGTCCATGTTCAGTTCCATCAAAGCTTTGTGAAACTGATCCACCTGGCCATCTTCTAGCAGTTCCTACAAAAGGAAGCATTAGTAAGAATCTACTTTTACTGTTAACCTGCTACAAATCACTAGCCTTCACTGTCTATTTTCTATTATAACTAAGGGAATTCCTGCAGAAAAATTACATCTGGAAAAGAGAACCAAATTGATTCCTAAATAAGCGACTTGTTATTTGCTGGCAATTGATTAACATCTTTAATTCCTTCACTTGAATAAAATGAAAATGACCCTCTGAGAACAAATATTTCACAGAGAATACAATTCCAAGAATAATCCTCCCCCAGTTTCTCATTTTTCACTTCCTCCTAACTAAAATTCCAATTCCAGCAGTGCATGGAGTTACCTGAACATAAAGAAGCCTCTCCAGTCTCTCTTGATCCAGCTGAAGCTTTTCTTCTCGACGGCGAGCATTAAGTTCCTGAAGCCGTCGAAGTTGTTGCTGCCGTCGCTCTTGCTTCTCCTCAGACGTGATGGTGCTTCCAAGGAGCTTATTTGAAAAAGGCAGCTGCATCTTATGCACATTGTTCTCATAGTATTCAGGTGATCGCCACTTTTGCATCTCTGTTCAAATCACAGTAATGATTTTTGCTCAGAACAATCATAGTAATAATTTTTGATCTATTCGAATGCCCTGAGAAATTAAGAAAAAGCAATGTAGGATATTTTTTTTTGTGGGGGGGGGGAAGAGAAGGTGACAGGAAAGAGAGAACTAACTTCTACCCAATATTTAATAAATAAATTGCCTGCTGTGGGAAAACCTACATGACTTTTATGGTATTGCACCAATCTATATGAGCGAAGGAACAAGTAGAAACTGTATTTATCTGATGCCAAAAAAAATTAGAAAACAGAAACTGCAGGGAAAAATAGTATTTTCTAAGAAAATTCCAATGCAAACCAACCAGAAAAGGCAAACAGCATGCATTAATGAAACTTAGCAATCAGTATGATCAAAATTGGGGAAGCAACTCTTCTCATTTCCTTTATAAAATGGCCTTTATAAAGCCAACTGTTGGGTCAGATTGTGTGATTATGTTCAGCTTCAGCAGTTTAGGATCTAACTATCTGGTTCTTCTTAGATCTCAAATAAACAGGTCATAATTAGGTTGATTTCAAGGGAATCAAATATTGACCTAGCCCACTGTGCTTTATTTTTATTACTGGTGTAGTTCCACATTTCTAGGCAGTTCACAAACCTAAACCATAGATGAGTAGCATCATAAATAAACAGCATGACACTAATCAAAAGCAATTCAATTTTTTTTAAAAGCATGCTACCAAACAGATGGCAGAAAAGTGCAGCAGTTAATCTCTAGAGACTTGTCAAAACTGCCATGTTTTAACAGCTTTCCAATGAAGCCAAAGGTAGAGTTCAAATGGATTTTAGGGTGCGTGAGGTATCTTATATCCAATTGGTAGCATAATTACAGTACATCCACTAAAATCAACACTTAAAATTAATTAAGTCCATCTTAAATTCCACTGTTTTCAACAATCTTACTCTAATTATGTTATTTTTCATATTGTATATTTTACAATATGAGAGAATATATCAAATCATTCGTGATATACAGTAATTTAAAGAAAAATGTAAAAAATGAAGCAATCCACACAATCCCTATATTGCTCTATTAATGATTTGGCTTGTGCTTGTTCTTAAAATATAAAATTGCAACAACATAGAACAACATGCACTATATTGGTGTCTATTTATACAATGCAAACACAATTTTCCAGTGAACTCATTTTTCATCTCTCTATTCACTCTAAACACATTTGTTGATTTAACCAATAATATGTATTTAGCTGCTACACCCTGTTTGCTGAACTTCCTGGACTGAAGAACCATACACAGAGTTTGTTCCAATAATTCCATATATATGAAATCAAAGCATGTTAAAAGATTTGTATTCTTTAGATAAGGCTGTGGTTATTTCATCCTATTCACTGAAAATACATTGGCTGCATTTATATTAAGACATCATTTATTTAACTGAGTTTTTTGGAATAAGCCACTGTGGCTGATTTACACAGCATGCCAGCCTGGTCCTTTAATGGAACACAATTCCAACCAAAACCAACTGTGCTGTCCCATTCAGTTCAGGAGACTCCTGTTTACCACACATTTCTATCTTCTTTTGATTAAGAGGATATTGGTTTTTTGTGGACTAAACTATTTTTTGTGCTACTAAACTATTATTTGTTAGAACTAAACTAAAATACTGTATTTTTGGATGCTGTAATAATTACATATTTTCTAATGTCTTATTCAGATTTGCAAAGCAATTTTAGATACTTTCTAATCTTTTTAGTACAGGAGTGTCAAACTCGCATTGTCATGGCAGCCACACGTGACGTATCGGGACTTCCCCCCCCTTTCGCTAAACCAGACGCGGGTGGAGCCAGCACGTGACACATCTGGCCCGCGAGTTTGACACCCCTGCTTTAGTAGTATAAAATTCACTCTATTTTTTTAAGACTGCCAAACGCTGTGTTTTACAAAATCAGATGACACAAAAGAAATAAAGTTACATGATAACTGTTGACAGCAATGCCTTACCTTCTTTATAATCTTCCGCGATGTAGCTGTGCTCATGGAGTATTTCTTCCACACGGCTAAGCGTGATGGCAGCAAAATGCCCTGGATATTTCAATTGCAGGAGGCGCTGGAGATAAAGAGCTGCCTGGCATCCTCCAAGATTTATGCGCTTACAGTTTCGTGCATCTAACCTAACATTTCATAAAAATGGAGGAAAAATTAGGCTGTACGGAACAGTTTCATTCTATCAGAAACCATGTTTTAAAGACTTTTCAAGTAGCCATTTATGTCATGTCCACAGTCAATATTATCATCAATATTGGTTGGTTTCACTCATGTAGTGGAAACTCTTAAGAAATCTTCATTACTTGGGGATACAAAAATAATCAAAATACAGTTAAAATATCCCAATTCACAAAAAATTAAATTATGCTTAAAATAAAAATTATCCAAGAGAGAATCTAATTGAATAAAAGAAAAACATATTTAATACACTCCCAAAGGCTACATAAGAGATTTAAGACAACTAAGAAGAAGGATTGATTTGGTTCTCAATCTCTGACAGGGCATTAAATTGGGTGAATCAGAAAAATGATAAGCAGCCAGTGTAAGTGATACAGAACAGAAGAATGAAAATTAGTTTCTGCTTTAGTTATTTTTAACTGCCATATTTTGTACCATTTGAGATTTTTAGTGCAATAGATTATTAAAATCAAGCTTGAACATCATAAACATACAAACTAAATAAGCATAGTATGCTTTAAATTAAGACATTGCTAATCTCCAAAATTACATGTAAATAGTGGTTGTACTGTAAACACTGTTTGTTCAGTGGCTACATTTATTCAATAAAAGTTCAATAGTAATTATTAAATTAGTATTCAATAAAAGTTCAATAAACTTCAATGGCTACATTATGCAACACACCAAGGCAAAACCATAGAAACCATTATAATGTTTAGCAGAATATATTACAAATAAAGTCACTAATTACAAGAACTCCAAATAGCTAAACTGGCCCTTTAGTTATATACTTCCACTGAGATGAGAACATTCTCTAACATGCAGATTTCAATTTTATCTTGCGCATATTTAAGGTTGTTCGTTTCTCATTAAACCTAAACTGCCCACATAGGTCTGTCTAGGGTTTTTCCATTACTTCCTTGAAATTAGAAGATGAAAAAGGAAAAGAACAACATTGTGCCAACTTATCAACGCATTCTTCTAATTTATGTTAGCAGGTTAATGTAGATTGGGGAATAACAATTGTCCAAGGACAATATGTCACCCATCAGTATAGTTCTGGAGTCAAAGGGACCACATTCCTGCCCCACCCCCACTACACAAAATAAAACATGCTAGCTTTTTTTTTTTTTTTTTTTTTTTTGCATTTGGGGAATTTGCAGAACTTTAAGCAGCACTAGAGTAATTTGGATGACTTAAAGCTTGCAGAGTATTACAGGACACATTTTACCTAACTCCTGAAGTTCCCTTTCAAAAAACCCCTCAGCATTCCCAGCACTATTTTGGGAGTGTGGACATAAATATTTATTTATTTTAATTTATTTATTAAATTTGTTTGCTGCCCATCTCACCTCAGAGTGACTATATCTGCCATATGTCAACTCTGAAGCGAACCTGGCTGAAGCCATCTTGTGCTGCCTCATAGTTGCCACGAAGCCTGAGAAAGAAGGGGAGGGGGAAGTAGATAGCTCAGCTTACAGTCAAAATAAAAACTTTTCCTGTGGGAACCAAGGTCATTGTAACAGGTGGCTGGTGAAGGAGGAGAGGAGCCTGCCAGGTGTATTCATTGGACAGTGTGACTGATGACAGCTGGAAGGGGGAAAATTTTACTCTTTTAATTAGGTGAAAACCGCAGGAACTTTCAGAGTTGGTTTTCACCGGTTGTGCTGAAATGGTGTATCCAATGAACATGTTCTTAAGAGGAATCTACCTGCCTCGGAGTTCTGTTTCCAATGGGTGCATTACTCGGAATGCTGACACCATATATATGGTGTAGCCCTAGAGAAAAAAGTTGCAGTTCTTTGTTGTAGATATTAAAAAGAAAAAGACAAAACCTATAGATATCTCAAAATCTGGTGCAGACGAACTAAGGTAAAGATTCCCAAAATACAGTCTTCCACACATTCTATAGAACTGATCTCACATCGAAGTATGTGCACCCAAGTCCCAATGAGGAATATAATAATGAAAAGCATCTTAATTAATTCTATCAAAAATCAGTGAAAGAATTCAGGAAGACAGAGTCAGGTTTCTGTCCATTCTTCAGTGAAAGTGATTTATCAAGGCATCCCAAACTCAGGCCAGAAGTTTAAATTGTAGACACACACAAAAAGGTAATTATTTAGTAATTTATGAAAATTTATATTCTATTGGTAAACAGGAAATAACTCACCTGCCTTCTAAGACTGGTAAAATATGAGTACACTGGTATCCAGAAGAAACTATGAGCCCACTGCAAGGCCAGCCTTGCCTTTTGTTATGATAGAAACTGTACAAGCTGTCTACACCATAAGAAACCTTTGGAACCTGGTAACATTCAAATAGGAGCTCTGACATCATTTGCCTTGAATAGAGAGGGTTGCAGACAGCCTCTGTTATCACAATTGGATGGTCAACACAGCCCTATAACAAAATTAAAACAAGAAGTGACAATCTGTGAATCCTCAACAAGACAGTTTAAGATGATCAATGTAGCTATACTCATAAATAGGGACAGTGAAGGAAGATAAAATGATGACTTCTACATTGTAACTTCATCAAATGACATGACAGACATATGTACAGATTTCATGATGCATATATCACCATGTTGAGGTCACTGATGTTTATTACAAATTCCTACAAATAAGAGCACTTAGAAATTTAATTTTACATGTAAGGACATAACCCCCAACACATGGTATCTTTGATAGGTATTATTACTTATGTGTTCTTCCACAGATATGCAAACTAGAATGTGTGTATGTGCATTAATGAACACAGAAGGATTTTTCTAGAAGTGTAATCTGCATACCACAGATTCTGTTCATCATTCACCAAAAAAGCTTAAGTGCTGTTAAATGTGCAACACTTACAAAACAAGAATTATGCTGTTCTCATACTTGGATAATGTACTCTTTCTTGGAAATAGCAATGCTTCATAACTGAACTTTTCCCCACAAAGGATCTGGACTGGCTAATTTACTCTGCAGATTAGCCATGTAGAAAGCAATTTTGCAAACTGGGCATTTGTATGTTTCCATTAATTTAATCACCAGGGGAAATGCATGCACACTATAATTCTAATCTCACTACAACTTTTCCGAGCGCACATTCTTTGCCCAAGGCTCAGGTACTACTTTTATTTTTTACAAAATAATATGGATTTGAGAGTTCAAGTGCTAGGATAACAATATGCGCTTGAGCTCTCTGTAAAAATATTTAATATATACCAAAAGGGAAAAAGCATTTTTATAATTTGGAAGTGTCTAACACCAAAGACTGATAATCTGGCATCTTCCACATAATTTGTACTATCATTCCTTCTCCCTTCTCTTAGGCGCAAAATACTTCCAATATATATATTTTTTTGTTTTAGATAAATTTATAGTGATGCCAAGGTAACCCATTCTAGTCTGGTAAACCATTCCAAGCATTTGACACCATCTGATGGTTACCTGATTTTGGCAGACCAGCCCTGTAAGACAAGGGCTGAATGAAAACAAATAACTCCAATGTTGTATGTTGCCAAAAGATTGCCACACTGGTGTACAGAAGCTCTGACACATTCTTTAGCATCACTTCTTTCACTTTAGTTGGGGGGGGGGGGGGGGGGAAGTGTGAGAGAAGACTGTATTGCTGCTGTTCATGAAGCAGAAATAATCACTGCACTTTAAGCAATGCCCTGATTCAATTTTTGACTGCTGGTGGAGTCCTTCCAAATGAAGTTCAACAATGAATGCAGGTTGTTTATGGTACTACTAGCATCAGAACAGTAGAACCACTGGTCACGAACGCTTCTGACCACGACCAAATTGGGTTACGACCAAAAAAAAATCACATTTTTCCCCTCCGCAGCCGATATCCCCTTCCGTGCCATTTTTTTTGTAAGCGCCAAATTTCCAAAATTAGGTTCGGGTCGCGACCAAATTGGTTTGCGACCAAAGTTATGGAACGAATTATGGTCGTGACCAGAGGTTCTACTGTACTATGTATCACTGGAACAAAAAAAAATGTAAAGACGATGAAGAGCTGATTTATGTGACCAAAAATAAAGTAGACAATCTGTGGCAGCAACCATCCTGTTATAAATGAGAAAAGTTAATGAACTAATTAAGGGCAGCTGATGAATCACTCAAAGACAAATTGTTGTCAAGTTTGGCATTTTCCAGAAACATGTGCCACATTCTTGATGTTTTTCAATACCAGAAAGTTCATGCAAGAAGGTTTTTTACATGCTGACAACATAGATGAAACCTTCAACAGCTGTCAGCAATTGTCATGTTATGAAAATAAAGGTAAGGAATTTCTTCACAGCACTGTAACACCTCATTACAACAACATGAGCCTATTATGATGACCAGAAATAAAGTGTCCTTTTCTGGAAATCATCATAAAGTTTTATCTTTGAGGAAAAAAATACAAAATCCAGATTGCAGCCGGAAAAGTCAGGTACAGGTGTTTGGAATATAGATGGTATTATTCACATGGTGAAGCTGGCACCAATATCAACTTTGAGTGCTACATTGCAACACTTAACACTTTGAAACAACAATTCAGAAGCACAAGAATTTATGGCAATGTCAGGTCTCACACCCCAAAAGCCACTCAAGAGCCATGTACGTGATGATTAAGGTGCTGGCCTAGAATCTAGGAGACTTTGAGCCAATCACACTTTCTCATCCCAATCTACCCCACAGGGTTGTTGTTGTGGGAAAATAGAAGGCAGGGATGTTAGGGTATGTTCATTGCTTGAATTGACCAATTATACAAAAGATAGGAATAATAATAACTGTAAAGTTGATCACTCTGTTTAATACCATTTGCCAGTCCAGATTTGGTGCCATGCAACTTCCACCTTTTTGGAAAATGGAAAGAATAATATCTCACGGGTGTCTGACTCAAATGAAGATAGAAAAGGATTGTCAGGATCAGCGCGGAATTCTTTAATGAAAGATTTAAGAAGTTTGTCCATTGTTCCCCACGGTGCGTAGCAAATGATGATGATTATGTGGAAAAGCATATGGAGGATACAAAAGAGTTCATTTATTATTTATGTATTTATATCTCACCTTTATTATTTTTACAAATATCTAAAAACAATGAACATATCCAGCACTTTCCTCCTCCTATTTTACCCACAAGAAGTGATTGGCCCAAAGTTACGCAGGTGACCTTGATAGCTAAAACAGGACTTGAACTCATGATCTCCTGCTTTCTAGTCTGGTGCATTAACCACTAAACCAAACTGGCTCATTTCAGGAATTATTTTTTTTATTTATTATGTATTATTATTGTATTTATTTATTTTATTTATTAAAATGTCCTATTTAAACTGAAATTTTGGATGGGGCATTACTTTTCATTTAACCCTTGTAAATGTAATGTTATATGTGCCCCAAATATGCAAAAGATGCTCCATACATGCTTTAATAAGATAGTTATGCTTTTATGCCTCCTTTTTAATATATAATTCAAGGTGGCGAACATACCTAATACATAATGCACTAGTCCTTCATATCAGAGCCCACTTCTGTATTTCTATATATATTTTGCTAACTATATATCCCATATCCCTTAAGAAAAGCCTTATATTACCTTCTCCCAATTTGTTTGGAAGAACACTGGATTTGTTTGTTTGAGGACACTTATCGATCTAACCCTGTCACTAATTTATGCATTCCAGCCTTATAGTCACTGCGGTATGAATTCTACTGAACATCAGTTAGGGAGGCAATGCTTCCGCAGAAAAATTTGTTGAGCCCCAGAGAGGCCTTCCGTACAAATGTTACCATGGAGTCCATTTCCTTTAAAGGTAAAGGTAAAGGTTCCCTTCGCACATATGTGCTAGTCGTTCCCGACTCTAGGGGGTGGTGCTCATCTCAGTTTCAAAGCCGAAGAGCCAGCACTGTCCAAAGAGGTCTCTGTGGTCATGTGGCTGGCATGACTAAATGCCAAATGCGCATGGAACGCTGTTACCTTCCCACCAGAGGTGGCCCTATTTTTCTATTTGAATTTTTGATGTGCTTTCGAACTGCTAGGTTGGCAGAAGCTAGGACAGAAGCTGAGCTCATCCCATTGCTAGGGATTCGAACCACTGAACTGAAAGGTTGGCAGTTCAGTGGTTCAAATCCCTAGTATAGGTCTCCTGCATGAGCAGGGGGTTGGACTAGATGACCTCCAAGGTCCCTTCCAATTCTGTTACTCTCACTGCCAACCTTTTGATTGACAAGCTCAGCGTCTTAGCCACTGAGCCATAGCATCCCTATAATAAATATAAATGATAATAAATATAAATGATAATAAATAAATATAATAAATATAAATTAAATATAAAATTATTATATTTATATAATAAATATAATATAAAGTCCCATTTCCTTTACGCCCCGGCAAATCTAGGTTAGCAGTTCCGTTGGCCCTATAACAACTGCGCCGCGAGTCCAAAGTCGTTGAAAGCTTCTCAACTGTCGCGGCTGAAGATCCAACGGTACCAACGGGCGGGTCACTTCTGCCTTCCTTACCTGCGAGGAGACGCCCAGGCGCTGGAAGCCGTGATCGAAGAGCTGCTCCTGCAGCTCCATCTGAACCGGCACGTTGCGGTCGAAAGGCGAGCGGAGGAGCCATCGGAGGGGTTCGGGGCTGCCCAGATCGTTGCCCACCTGGGTTTCCGGGCCAGCGCCGCCGCGAGCTCCCCGGCTTCGAGCAACTAAGGAGCGGAACTGGAGCAAGGGCTCGCCGGGCACTGCGGCTTGCGGGCAGGCCCAGCCCAAACGCAGTTGGAACGAACCGTTATCCAGCACCAGAGGAACCGGAGCCGGCAGCCGCACCGCCGGGTGAGCTTCCAGCATCGGGTCCGGGTCCCATCGGACGTCGCGGAACTGGAACACCCCTCCGGCTGCCTCCATGGCGAGAGAAAAAGCTTGCCGGCCGTCAGGTCCCTCCCCGTCTTTTCTCCGACTCGAAACAAAGGCTTCTAAAGGACTGTTCCGTTCACGAGACGAATCACCATGGAGACCAGTATTAAACCCGCGCGCGTTGCCGGTTCCGCTCCTCCCTTTGAAGAGAGTTTCTCAACCCCAGACTTTAAGATGTGTGGACTTCAATTCCCAGAATTCCCCCAAATAACATATTAAAGTCCGTGAGATTAAGAAAAATTGTTTTAGACTAGACTAGGATTTGATTTGCCACTTTGCTGGGTAGGTGCATGTGCAAGCATATGCGTCCAAAAACTTCTTTTTATTGAAATAACGGAATTTCGAGCTGCATATTTAAACGTATAACACTCGAGAACCTGAACTAGAGAACCGTTGAATAAAATATAATATCCTCCTCCCCCAATTTAATGTTGGAAATAGGATCTGCTTCGAGTAGACTTGTATAAACTGGTGTTTATGGGACTTGTAGTTCCGCATGTTCGAAGGCTAACTAATTAGGGAAGACTGAAGAACAATATTAAAAGAGGTTTTATAGATCTATTGAGATTCAAAGTTCGTTTAAATAAATATATGTTAATGTAAGTTTTCTTATAGTAGGGCTGACAGGGAACTTACTAAATTCCCTTACTAAGAAGGAGTGAAGCTGGATTTCTGGAGATGAATTATGGCTAATGGTGGTCATCTTGAAAGTAAGAATGGTTTAATTTATAGTTATCTTCAGAAGACATCTTTTGGCCAGCCAATTTAGGAAACTATCACCTAATCTCTAACTTTCATTTATAGGGATTGTTTTGGAGATTTAGATCTTAGAGGATCTTAGAGGAACCATTTTCTGGGTTTTCTACAGTTGAGCATCATATCTGGGTGTAGGATTAAAATGGCATTGCTTGCTTTGATGGATGACTTTTGGTGAGACCTGAAAGGAGGGGACATGCTAGTCTTGGTCCTCTTAAATCTCTCAGTAGTTGGTACAGCACAGTACCCATGATCATCTTTCTGGACTGCCTGCAAACATTGGCACTTGGAAGAACGGTTTTGCAGTGACCCTGTCCTTTCTTGAGCATGTAGTTCCAGTCATCACAGATGTGGGGGGAGTGATCATGCCTGGGGTTACTCCAGAATAGGGTTCCTCAGGGTTTATTCCTCTCACCCATGCTGCCATATTACACGTGGGTGGAATGATTTCTAAGTAGAGAGTCGTATGCCTATTTTAGAACCTGCACTACAATTTCATGTATTTCCCACTTCAAACTGGGAATAAACAGCTGTCAATTTCCAGGTTGTCCACCTTTGATATAATGACTTGGTTCACACTATGCAAAGTTATAATGGGTGTTGTTTGAAATTCTATAGAATTCTTGTGGGAGTTCACTCTGTTGATAGCAGTTGTATTCTTAGAACAGGGTGGCCTAAAATGGGTTGGCTGATTTGTGGCACAGTGCTATTTTAATCCAAAGAATCTTCTTTATTTATGGATTTTGTGAAACCCAGGCAGTTGGGAAAATTCAGTAAACCATGGTTCAGTTAACCTTGGATTAGCATTTTTAAAAAATAAATCCAGCTATTGGAAAATCTTGCAAGAGATTATACTGTTACATATCTCAGCTGTTTAAGCAGGTTTTTTAAAGGACCTTTATATTTAAATGGAATAGTTCTGTAAAAATGACTTTATAGCAAAAATATTGCTTATCTTTATTTTTCTGTTTCAAATTAAAGTACAAGATATAAGGTATACTGCAGTTTCTTGAATTATCATTTAATCTGTAACATTCCCTTCTTAATAGGCTTAAATGTTTTTTTTTTAATATCAGCTGTGTTGGAATGATAGCATAGCTGCTTTGTGATTCAAGTAATGATGTAGTAAAAGAGGGTAGTTACATAAAGGTATTTAGTGTCACACAGCAAAAACTTAGAAAGTCATGCGCATAGTGAGTTCGGCTGACTTTTGAACCAAAAATGAAGTATCCTCTAGTTCCTTTAATTAATGAGCTAACATTTCCTTTTGTCTTCTGGTTTTGTTTGCCTTTTGGGATACTATTGATCTTACTGATTTTTTGGTTCCAACATCTACTTAATGAAGGTAAGCCATATTGCACTATAATTTTTACAGTTTTCATTTAATGTGACTTGTAGGAATTATATGGGTTGTAGCACAAGGTATCTAGGAAGTGCCAAGATGGGGATGGATATTATAAATTGCTTTTTATATCCCACGATATCCAAAATATTAGCACAGCTGAAAAATTAGCACTACATTATATGTCTATTCAAATAGAAACTGCTTCACTTAAAAATGGAGATGTAGATAAAATTCAAAATATTTAGTTTTCTGCTTTATTATGTGTGAGGTCATTTAGGCAGAACTGATCAAGACTGACTCAGGCCTCTCCATCAGTTGGGGACTGCACTGAAATAAGGTCAGTGCCATTCCCTGTATCCTGATGATACTGTTGGAAGAAACATTCATCTGGTTCAGTTCCAAGCCGGGAGAAAGGCACTGGAGACAAAATGGAGGCTGATTGGAAAGAGGGTCCATTTATTGATGAAGCAGAAGCACATGGGTAGTTCTGGGCAGCTGATCACATGGAGTTGAGAATGGGATTTTTTTTATTGGGCTTCTTTTAGGCTTTGCACTTGAACTTCCTGTGCAAGAACATGTATTCTATTGGCTGTTATGAGAGTCCCGTGGGACCATGTACAATTCCTAGGAGTTTGTCTGAGCTAAATTTGGTTGAAGTTTGAACTTCTGGGGGTGGTGCAACTGAGATGATGCAATGAAGGGGCTTTCGGCAATTCCTATTGTGGCTGAGGGCTAATCCTATCTTTGTTGGAACTTGGGTGAGGGTATTTACTTATGAATAGACCTAGCTTTCTTTTAAGTGCTGACATCTGCTGAAGGCTATTAAGAAAGGTGGGGGCTGCTTTCCAAGAGCCTGTTTCTCCATTTTTCATCCAGGGAAATATAATATTCTACCTTTTTAGTATTTCTCAAAATATTTCATTCTTCTAGGAGAGGGTTGGGTGCTAACTTTCTACAATACTATAGGGGCTTCCACAAGTCTTTGGAGGCTGAGATAAGTAACTCTTGGTTCATGCTCCAGAGGAAATACTGTGGAAATGTGAAGGCAATATTTGCAAGTGTTTCCAACCACTTGCAGGGTAAGTGGTTTTCATGTACAAGATTTCATTTTATTTTTTTACACACACACACACACACCGACTTTTTATTTAAAGTTTTGTGTTCTCAACATATAGCAGTTAATATTTTAAAGCTGATTATTCCTTGTTATGAAAAGAATTCTCTACAAGGAAAGGAATGGGAAAGAAGGGGCAACTAGTTGCTGTTATTAGCTGGTCTCAGTTGGACAGCTGGAGGAAGTTCTGATTGTTTAAGGAAGATAGGGATAGCCAGGTGTTATGCAGCTGGTTATGATTGTGTATATATGTTTGTATCCAAGATTGGTTATGTCAAGGGAATAGGAGTCACATAGGCATGATGTACTAACTTTTAACTAGGTTTAATTTCTTCGGTGTTTTTTAACTTTATATTTTTCACACAAGGAGAAAGATCTTGGATGACTGCAGTTTGTTAAACTGATTGAACAGAAGGGTGTTGTGCTTTTAGGCTGTGTCCAAAGGCAATCGATATGGCAATCCCATATTGTAGATTGACAGATTCATCATTTGGTAGACCTGTTAATGCAGATTTCCTGAAGTTAAAAGCAAAGACTCTTGGGATCCCATGGCTAATTGCTCTAGAACAAAAGCTACTAAAATTGTACTTTTCTACCCAAACTGTCAGCGGGAGCACATTTGAGTGTCTCTTAGTTACAAGCCAGTTTAGTTAACTGGTTAAAACACTAGGCCGGAAACCAGGAGAGTGAGTTCTAGTCCAACTCATAAGCATGAAATCCAGCTCAGTGACTTTCTGTTAGTCATACTCAGTCCAACTCACTTCACAGGATAGTTGTAGGAAAATAGGAGTAATAGGTATGTTCACTACCTTGAGTTATTTATTTATGAAAATAAAGACTTGGGTAAATAAAAATGTCAGTTTTATGTGCTTAGAAATATACTGATTTATTTGAGGATATGAAGTAATCATCCCACTATATTATCGCTTGGAAATGCATATGCTGCTATCAGAATAAAACTCCTTTTTGCAATGTGTGAAGTTTGTAACGGTACTGTTCCACCACAACTCCAGAACTATTACTGGTCTGTGTTATCAAATGCAATATTTTACAATATAAAGAAATACAGCTGCTAATTCTCCACATAGGGGAACTAGTATCCTGGATTCAATTGGTGTCATGCAAAATATACACATGGGTTGTTCTTATGCACAAATCTAACTATAAAGCATTTTGAATAACTTTATGAACAGGTAAGTCAGGAACATTTCCTCTTGAATAATGGCGAATGTCTTGATTGCCCTTCTCAGCATGTGTAAATAAATAACCCTCTTCAAAACATCAAAATCATAATTAGCAATCCCTATCCAATATTCAGTAATATGAAGCTGCCTTCTTCACGAAATGTTTACTCGGATTTTTCACTGTTATTAAACTCAAATGTTAATCATGCTGAAAACAATTATAGAAAATTGCATTTCATTATTGGAGCAAGAAAGATTTCATGCATTAGAAAACAGATGAGGGATCTAATTTAGTTTTTGACTTCCATCTCTGATGAAATAACAATTGTTCGCTTTGGATAGCCATGTTATGCATTTTAAAAATCTATAAAATGTACTGTAGGTACAAAATCTTGTTTAGCTGTTACGCCTTCTGTATCTAACCAAAAAGCCTTTCTAGCTTGTTTTTTCCCCACTGCATTGATATAAAATCCTGATATTTATATTTTAGCTGAAGTTCCCATTACTAAAGAAATAAAGATGCCACCCTGTGATGATCCTGATGGGAACACTGACCTCAAATCTGAACATGAATCCAGTGGAAATAACAGCCGAAGCAAGTACAGAAAAGCCTTAAAATTTGATATGAAGATGACTCCAGGGGTGGAAAAATTGGCCTCCAGGCCTGCTCACTCAAGTTCAAAAGAAACGGAGAAAAGCCTGTCTGCCGGTATTTCACGCCAACTAAACCAATGTGGCAGACAATTTTGTTCTGAGAAGAATTTGATGTACAATACACCTATGGTAAGTAAAAGGATCTACCTGTAGTATCTTTATCTTTTATCTTTTATTAGATTTGTATACCGCCCTTCTCCTTTCGGACTCAGGGCGGTGAAAAGCCAAAGTACAAACATTTGTACACAAAAGTTAAAATAATTTTTAAAAATAATTAAATGAAATTTGACCCATAATTTAAAACATTTCAATTAAAATCAGTATCAAACGTTAAAACCAACATGGAATCAGGCCAGCCGGGCTAACTGAAAAAAGTAAGTTTTTAGGACCCAACGAAAAGTCCAGAGGTCTGGGATCACTTGTATCTCTGGGGGTAGATCGTTCCAGAGGGTAGGTGCCACCACAGAGAAGGCTCTCTCCCTGGGGTCGCCAGCCGACATTGTCTGGCTGACGGCACCCTGAGGAGGCCCTCTCTGTGGGAGCGAACCGGCCGGTGGGAGGCAATTGGTGGCAGAAGGCCACCAACACCTTGAAGCGCACCTGGAAGTCCACCGGAAGCCAATGCAGCTCGCGCAGGAGAGGTGTCACATGGGAGCGCCCCGTCGCTCCCATAATCCCCCGCACGGCCGCATTTTGCACCAGTTGGAGCCTCCGGGTGCACCCCAAAGGGAGCCCCATGTGGAGAGCATTACAATAGTCCAGACGAGAAGTGATGAGTGCTTGAGTGACCGTGTGTAAGGAGTCCCGATCTAGAAAGGGGCGCAACTGGCATATCAGGCGAACCTGATAGAAAGCCCCCCTGGCCACGGCCGTCGTATGCTCTTCTAAAGACAGCCGTGCATCCAGGAGGACACCCAAGTTGCAGGCCCTTTCCGTGGGGGCCAGTGATTCGCCCCCAATAACCAGCAATGGCACCAGCTGGCTATACCGGGACGCCGCAAGCTGCAGCCACTCGGTCTTGGAAGGGTTGAGTCGAAGCCTATTTCTCCCCATCCAGACCTGCACGGCCTCCAGGCACTGGGACATCATTTCCAAGGCATTGTTGGGATGGTCTGGGTTGGAGATGTACAGCTGAGTGTGATCAGCGTACTGATGGAACTCCACCCCAAAACCACGGATGATCTCACCCAGCAGCTTCACATAAATGTTGAACAGGAGGGGTGAGAGGACCGACCCTTGTGGCACCCCACAAACAAGGCGCCTTGGGGTCGACCGCTGCCCCCCTGTCAACACAAATTGTGACCGGTTGGAGAGATAGGAGGAGAACCACCACAAAACGGTGCCCCCCACCCCCAATCCCTCCAACTGGCGCAACATGATACCATGGTCGATGGTATCAAAAGCCGCTGAGAGATCTAACAGGACCAAGATAGAGGAATAACCCCTACCACGAGCCCTCCAGAGATCATCCACCAACACGACCAATGCCATTTCCGTGCTGTACCCAGGCCTGAAACCGGACTGGAGCGGGTCCAAATAGACAGCTTCTTCCAGGTACTGGGGAAGCTGCCGTGCCACCACACTCTCAACAACCTTCACAATAAAACGAAGGTTGGAGACTGGACGATAGTTAACCAAAACAGCCGGATCCAGAGAGGGCTTCTTGAGGAGGGGCCTCACCACCGCCTCTTTCAAGGCGGCCGGCAGGACACCCTCACTCAAAGAAGCGTTAAGAATCCCCTGGAGCCAGCCTCGTGTAACCTCCCAGGAAGCCAACACCAACCAGGAGGGACACGGGTCCAATAAACATGTGGTCGCGTTCAGCCGTCCCAAGATCCTGTCCACGTCCTCGGGAGCCACAGGATCGAACTCCAGTATATACTCCAGTATATAATGATCCTCTCTTTACTAGGCTCGTAGAAGAAAGGGATCTGGCTCATGTGTGCCATTAAAGTTGGGCTACCTGAAAAGTCCCCAAGCAAAGTAAGACAGAGCAGTCCTCAGCTCTTTTTACCTAGGTTGGAAAAATTAGAGCCCTGGGTGTCTTTTTTTCTCCCCTGGCTTGCATTCTATGCATAAATGAGAGATCTACATTTCCTTCCACCCACCCATTATAGCTTGGCCCAGACTTACTGGCTCACATTCAGCAAATAGTTCTGGTCAATATTTAGTTCTTAGAACTTGGGAGGCCAATGTTGTCTAAAGAGATTATAATCTCACCATATAACCCAGAGCATGCATGGTTGCCATTAAATAAAAAAAGTGCATGCACATGGCTCTAATATTACAATTTTGTGCAGTTTTTAGTTGTTTTTGGTTCCTCCTGGATTTAAGAAAAAGGTTTGTCATTTCTATAGTTATTTCAAGAATTAGTAATTACATTTGTGGCATAATTCATTTCAAAGGGGATAAAAGTTTAATGCTGGGTTTACACATTCCCCGCAGCCAGACATGAGCAACATCTGAGAAACTAGGGACCCATTTCAGCCTCTCAATTTTTTGGAGGAATCCTTTTGAGTCCTTGTTTTACCTTTGAAGGAGGGGAGGAGTTAAGACAAGGAGGCAAAGCACTTTTGCTACCATTCTGAAATCCCCTGAAAGCAAGATATTGTTGGTGTGATCACACACCTTTGAGAGCTACAGATGGCATACTGGGGAACTCTGTGCATGTTCCCTGTTCCTTAGCTTAGTCATGGATGGTGCGTTAACTAAGTCAATTGCCTAGATCAGTGATGGCTAACCTTTTTGCCATCGCGTGCCAAGGGGGAGGGGCACAGGGGGAGTGTGCCCACACCCATAATGCAATGTCCTCCGTGTTCCCTGACCCGCCATGCTCCCCCTGACCCCAGGCATGCGTGTGTGACACCCAGCATTCCGTTTGGGGCCTGGCAAGCCTCCCTGAAGCCTCCTGGAACCAAAAATGGGCTGCAGGGTGGGGGGTGGGGGTGTGCCGCCCCTGCCCCTGCAACCGGTTTTGACACGGAGGTGCACCGCTCCCCCACGCATGCGTGTGCGACCTCCCTGCCCCCACACATGCATGCACATCTCCTGCATGCGTCTCATCCCTGTGCCAGAGACCCGAAAATCAGCTGGCTGGCAGGAGGCGCACGTACATGCGTAGTAGAGCTGAGCTGGGCAACAGCTTGCGTGCCATGACAGGCCTAGATTCTCATAACATGCTATAATAGAACTACACAAACAACATTATAGCTTAGGGTAGTATGTGAATAGAAATGTTTACATAGATAATGTTTTTAAAGTTCTGCTATACACCATGATTGATCTGTGTGGTAACAGTCTTCACTGAATTGGCTTAACTGCTAGTAATATCAAAAGGAGACAGATTTGTAAATGTTTCTTAACTGGATTGTTTTATTTAACTTCTCTCTTTTTTAGCCTTCACTAGTTGCTTGAGATTTCCAACATTCTGTGGATGCAGCTGCTCTCTTCATCTCTGGTTGCTCGTATTTTCAGCTCCTTATCTGGTTGAGGGAAAAGCTTGTTGAAATCATGCTTTCCTTGAAAAAAGAAATTGATATCTGTCATCTCTTGCGAGGAAGAGAGGGGCTAATGTCGTCTATGGGGATAATTAAAATACAGCTGTTCCACCAAAGAAAGATGGATGTGTAGCAATTCTTTAGTTTGTCCTGTTGCTAATTTCAGGTGTGCTATTTTTTTTTTTGCGTTATCATTTAGATTTTCTGTACAAGAATCAAAACAAAGTGTTTCCTTGTTCTTGAACTAGGGCATTATTCTTAAATGATATTTGAATATAAAAACCAAAGAATCCCTGTATATGTATCAATTTAACAATTCTGCTTTCTTAGAGAATACAAAGAACTGCTGTTCTGGAACAACATTTAAAACAATTACTACGTTAATGCAAAAATGTTTTTAAAAAGTAATGGTGAAAGTTAATTACAGATAATTACCTTATTTTCTGGCGTATAAGACGACTTTTTAACACATGAAAATCTTCTCAAAAGTCGGGGGTCGTCTTATACGCCGGGTGTCATTCTCCTGTAACCAGGCAGACCATCCCGAAAGGCTCTGAGGAGCCTTAAATGGCTCTGGCGATCCCAGCTCTGACGATCCCAGCTGAGTTCCCTGCAACTCAGCTGGGATCGCCAGAAACCATGTAAAAGGAAGAAAGTCTTTTCCCTTTTACTCTGACGATCCAAGCTCTGACGATTCCAGCTGAGTTCCCTGCAACTCAGCTGGGATCGCCAGAACCATGTAAAAGGGAAAAAGTTTTCCCCCTCCAGCTTGCTTACCTCAGCTGCTAGTCCCAACGCTTGCCTTGCTTCGCTTGCCTGAATCTATTCCATCAGCAATCAGCAATCAAGCAAGCAGCGAGTTGTAAGTAAAGCTGGCTGAGGAATTCTAGGAGTTGAAGTCTACAAGTCTTAAAGTTGCCAAGGTTGGAGACCCCTGTTCTATTGGGTAAGTTTTTTTCCCCTTTGGGAGCTTTAAAAAAAATAGTCAATTGGGTTTTTTTTAGTTGTTCTTTTTTAGACCTAGCCATTTAAAGTTTAGGAAGTTTTAAATTTAGCTTTCATATAAAAATAAAAATAAAATAAAATAAAATAATATTTGTGCAGCTTTCTGAGATTTAGTGTGTTTCTGTAGTGTTTCACTCTAACTACACAAACACACAAAATCTCACAAAGCTGTATGTGGAATTTTGTGTGTGTAAAGTGTGAAAGTTGGTTTTTTGGACTTTTTGTGGCTGTGTGAGGTTCCTGCTTGTTGCAGGGGCCATTTTGGGTCTAGCACAGCTGCTTTTACATTGTAGGTGAGCCAGTTGATGTTTTTTAATTTTTATTTGGTGTGCATTGGAAGAGGGGTAGTCTTATATGGCGAGTATAGCCCAAACCCTATATTTTAACAGGAAAAGTTGGGGGTCGTCTTATACGCCCAGTCGTCTTATACACCGGAAAATACGGTACTTATAATGCTTCTTAGACTAAAAACAGATGAAGTGCTGGTTTATTGCTAAACTATAACTCCCAGCATCAAATGCCATTGGACAAATTTGCTGGGATTTAACAGTGCAGCTCCTTTGAAGACATTTCTTAAATTCTAAGTGGTTATAACTTGATCTTTTGCTTTTTGTTATAACCAAGAATATTCAACTGATGTGAATAATATCATTTTATCAAAAGGCCTTGATATCCTTACTAGGACTATTTTAGGGCAACAGAGTATTTCAATAAACTATTAACAGGGTTCAGGAAATAAGCCATGTATCAGAATCTTACATCTAATACTCGAAGATGGTTAATCTTTGTCCCAAGCATGAAAGTGAACCACTGAATCTCTGCATTTGTTCCTACCCATTGATATAAACTGGGAGGCCTTCTTTCCCTTTGGGGAAACTTCTCACAAAGTAGTCTTGTCTCTGGGGGAATGTTTCTGTCAAGTCTCAGTGTATAATTTGAGGGGTAATGTGGCTCAGTTAACTGTACAGGGAGTCCTTAACTTACAATTCACTTAGTGATGGTTCAAAGCTACACCACCACTGAAAATGTGACTTATGACCATTTTTCAGTTAGATCTTTGTAGCATCCCTATGATCATGTGAAATTCAGATACGTGCAACTGGTTCATATTTATGATCATTGCTGTGTCCCAAGATTACGTGATCCCCTTTTGTGAGGTTCTGACAAGCAAAGTCAATGGGGAAGCCAGATTCACTTAACAGCTGGGTTGCTAACTTATTAGCTGCAATGATTCATTTAACAAGTGTGGTGAGAAAGGTCATAAAATGAGATTTTCAATCATCCAAGTCATGGTTATCCCAAAGGATTTGATCTTTACCTTTTGCTTTTTGTTATAACCAAGAATATTCAACTGATATGAATAATCTCATTCATATCAGCCAACTGGACCTTTCATTTTTTTCCTTTGAAAACGTTTTGCTTTTCATCCAACAAACTATTTTAGTTCTAACTTAACTGATGAGGAATGGAAGGGTTTATATTCTTTCAGTCATCAATCCTTCCATTCTCCACCAGTTAGTTAGAACTGGAGAAGCTTCTTGGATGAGAAGCAAAACGTTTTCAAAAGAAAAAAAACCCAATAGCGTCCATTTGCCTTAAAAAAAAAAGAAGCACTTTTGGGTCACTTAAATGGTACTTTCACAAGTTATTGCTGAACTCCTTGAAGGGACTTCCCCCCCACCGCAATGCTGCAGTCCAGTGTAATCTTATCCCGTCTCCTTTGCACCTATTTTAGTTTCAAAGAAGTTTCTTCAATGGAAATTGCTATATTCCAGTCTTGGTCTGGGTTCATATCCTGCGGCTATGGTTCTCAAAGCATGTCCTAAATTGCAGATGTAGAAAACTCCACGGCATCGTGGGCACAAGAAAGACTATTCCTCTTTTCGTTTTGCACGGCTCCTTTCCTTTCTCTATGCCAGTGTTTCTCAACCTTGGAAGCTTGAAGATGGATGGACTTCAACTCCCAGAATCCCCCAGCCAGCGTTGCTGGCTGGGGGATTCTGGGAGTTGAAGTCCACCCATCTTCAAGCTACCAAGGTTGAGAAACACTGCTCTATGCCGAGGATTTAAAACTTTCTCGCCCCCGCCCCCACCTCCGCGGGCTCCGCCCCCGGCTCCATTCATAGGCGACCTGGCAAAGCAAAAACGCCTCGCATCAGCTGGAGCAGAAGGCGGGGGAGTGGCCGGTTGCCTCGGCTGCTTTCGCCGCAGTGCCCGCGTCCGTCCGGCTGGAGTGGAACCGGCGGGGTCTTTGTTCTTCAGAAGTGCTTCATTGCGGGCGAGGGGAAGAGAGAGGGAGCCGTTTGAAGGTGGGTGGAAAAGCTTCCCCGATCCTCGTCCCATGGCCAGAACAGGGAAGCCGTGCGCTTTTAGGCTTTGTCTGCGCCCTCGGTCGCCAGGATAAAAGGGGTGGCGGGGAAGGGGAGGGGAGACAGCCAGCCCAAGTTTTAGCAGCTTCTCTCGGTGCATCTTTTCCCGTTGACCGAGAGCTGTTCTCGTGCAGGCGTCGCTTTGGCGAGGAGCAAGGCTGCCCAGCTGGAGAAGCCCGGATTTAAAGGGCTCCTGTCTGGAGGAGCCAACTTTTCTAAACCAGACGCCAGGCTCCCAAAGAGCAGGATCCGTCCCCGAGTAGAAGCCACCCGAGTTCCTGAGCGGGAAGGAAGAAGCGGCGTGGTTGGTTACTCTACTGCTAGTTCTAGAGCGCAATAGAATTAGAAGTGGAATAAAATTAGAAGTGGAATAGAAGAAGTTAGTAGTAGTCTCCTGGATTAGCGGGAGGGAAGGGACTCCTACACGGGGGAAGTGGAATGAGTTGCGGCTGGTATTCCCCTTTGCAGTATTTAAAAAAAAAAAAAAAATTCCCACCCTGTGGCGGGTTTGTAATGTATGCTGTTCGCCGCAGCTCACTTGTGGCGAAGAATTTGCCAGCGTAATCTAGCAAGCAGGAGCCTTGCGCGTTTCCTCGGGAGTAAAAAGCGCTTGTGTTGGAAAAGTTCACGCTCCGAGCAAGTTCAACTCTTCAGTCAGCGCAAGCAAGTTTTTTGGTTTTTCCAGTCTTTTACCATTATGTCCACAGAGAGATACTCAACCATCCAGATTTTGGGTTTGTCCCCAAAGGCGCTTTTTCCAAAAGGCGAGTGGACTTCCTTGATTTCCTCCCCCCCCCGCTTCTTTGAAAACGTTTCTCTTGCAAATGAATAGAAGAACTGAAAGCTTCTTCGAATGAGAAGCGAAACGTTTTCAAAGGGGAAAAAAAAACCCCAAGAAAGTCCATTCGCCTTTTGGAAAAAAAAGCTCCTTTGGGACCACTTCTTCCTTTTGGGTAAATGTGCCTGGCGTTTGAGGATTTAAAAGGAAGACGTGTTTCTCTCTTGCATTCGTATATTTCGCTACGTCCTTTGTTCAGTATATTGCTATTTCCATTGTCTGCTAACTGCCAGGAGCTTATTACGACTTTTTTATATTTTATTGTAGCCACCCATTCCAAAACGCGATACTCCACATATTTTAAAGGAATAGTCATGACACGCAAAGCGAGAGGTTAGTCCACGGTTAAACTCGAAGGTGGAGTTTTGCTGTTTTTTTGAAATGCGCTGCTGTAATCCGGAGGGGTGCATCGTATTTCCCTCTCTGCCTGTGCAAACCATTAAGCAGCGTTTTGTCGGCGTCAGCTGACAGGCTGCATTGTAAATGGTGATCGACTGCAAATGGATGAACCGTTAGTGCGGCAGTTGCTTTCCCGTTGGGTTTGCTCAGAAACACATGGTTTTTTTTCTTCTTCTTGACTTGGAATAGCTAGGCTTACTCGGAAGGAGGGCTGCTTTTATGCCAGAGGCAATCGGTTTGGAGGGGACTCGAGTTCACGTTAGAAAGAATTAGTAATATATCATTTGCAAATCGCTTCTAAAATAATCTGAAAATCAGAGCATAATCGCTGTGGATGATCTTTCTACTCTGGATAGGGTAGGACTGGTGGAGAAATCGATTTAATGCTTTTGAAAAGAGGATTCAGTCTGGTTCCTCCAGATAGATAATTATATCTGATATTAAGAAACTGAACCCAAAATAGCTGGTGCAAGGAGTTGATAAAGAAGAGGTCAGCATAATTCATTAAT